ACCTTTTTAAAGCGAAATAAAATTATTCAATCCATTCAGTTATATAAGTAAAATATTAAATATTAAATTAAATTAATAATATTAAATAAATCTTAAATTAAAATTATAATTCTAGATAAATAAATAAATAATCACAGATATTTAATTACTAATTTGACGAAACCTTTCTTACAGCATAATTTCCTACAGTAATTAAATTTGAAAATTAAAGAATATTAATCTTTGCAAACTAAGAAGAACCAAATAAGCCTATTGTTAATGTTGCGAATTTTGTTTCCAATACGAACTTAGCGTTACACTGACTGTTCGGATGGTATAAAAGTAAGATTTAAGTCATGGCATTTTGTGCCATTTAAATGTCAACTTGCAGTCAATGTATACTACAAAAAGGTTATACGAAGTTCGTATGTGCGAATCATTGGTCCCAACACTTCTCAAAGGAGACCTTTTGCAGGCGACTAGTGATCCACTGTGCAAAACTCACCACAGATATTTAATTATCTATAGCAAGGGCCCCTCACCAACATTACTATCGAGTAGAGATACAGATAATGTGTGTATTTAAATAAATAAATAGATTCGAAAATATTCAAAAATTATATTATCAATAGAATAGATATAAAATGTATGTGGTTTATAGAAAAATCTCATGATATGAAGTTATGATAAAATGATCGAACACCCCACACGGTTACTTCGTATGCAAGCAATACTTGGCGTCTTTGAAGGTTGATAAGGACACTCATCGATAAGGAATCGTCATTGATGTTGATAAGCATATTTCTGAAACTTGACATGCATTCTTTCGTAACCTACAGGACGTAAGATCGAAATTACACTAATAATTATAATTATTTAAATAACTTAGGACAGGGAGTTGCCACACTAGGTGTTATCTCCCCAGGGATCATATACAATGGATAAGATTAGCACATTTATCGTCATTCATACGCTCGACGTTTAAAACTCTTTAATGGTGAACACCCAAGCGCTTCAGCCCGAAAGGCAGATTTGCTTTTGCTCTCCATTTGTTAAACGTAAAACGTATGTTTTGACAAATAGAATAAATGTTTACAAAATTTTTATTCGTTGTTCGCAACCCACAATTAAAACTTCTATCCTCATATTGTAACTAATATTAAAGTACGATAATTAATATTAATTTATAACTATATAAAAAAAATGGGAAGCAGTTAACCTATCATGATGTTTTTTTAAGCTTGTGGGGGTCGTGGGTGAATTAGCAGTGACCTAGAGGTGCGTAGGTGGATCTCAGGGCAGTATAACGATGCGGTGTATTAATGGTTCATACCTAAATAGTTTAAATTACATAACTATCAATAACAGCGTCTATTACGCTTTAAATTTAGATCTTAACGTATTATAACGCTTAATTAATATTTAAACGTTTCACAAGAAAACACCGGGTCTATATTTATGTAATTATTGCAAAATTATACAATATAATAATGAAGTCTGAAGAATCCAATTGATAAAATTTGAAATGTTATAAATAAAAAAAATCAGCTGTGTAATAGTAGAAAGTATAATAGTAGGTAATAAACAAAATCTGTCACTCAAATATCATTTAAAATATAATACAAATGTATAAAGACCTTACTATTACTTTAGGTTATATACTATTTAAATTGACATACTCCAATGTTAGCGTACCCGTGAGTGTATGCGTGTGAGCCTGTGTGTGTGTGTGTGCGTGCGTGCGTGCGTGCGTGCGTGCGTGCGTGCGTGCGTGCGTGCGTGCGTGCGTGCGTGCGTGCATGCGTGCGTGCGTGCGTGCGTGCGTGCGGTCGTGCGTGCGTGCGGGCGTGCGTGCGTGCGTGCGTGCGTGCGTGCGTGAGTTCGTGCGTGCGTGCGTGTGTGTGTGTGTGTGTGTGTGTGTGTGAATGCATGTGTATGTATGCCTGTGAAGGTATGTCTATTCCCTATAATTACTTAATTCCTCCTTATTATCTTATAACCTACACATATAGCTACGAGTATATCCTATAATCTCAAAATTATTATAGATAAGTGCATACGTGTGTTAGGCGTGTGTGTGACGAGTGTGTGTTGCGTATTTGTATGTGTGCGTGCGCGAGCGTGTGTGTGTATGTGTGTGTGCAAGAGCGCGTTTGTATGCATATTTATGTGTAAGTGTATCTAGTGTAATGTATCTACCCTATCATTACTTCAAATTAATGTCTACCTTATATTTTGAATCTTACACTTATGATGCGCTATTCCGTCTAACTAATGCAGTAGCAGAAAGTATTCTGCATACGTTTATATTACAAAGAAATTGGAATCGATGAAATTGTTATGATGAGTGCTACTAGCGCGATACTTAATTAAATAAGTGTGGGAGATGTTATGTAAAAAGAAAATTGAATATAAAATGTAGACGATGATGCCCATCAATGTTTACCACGAACGTGGGCTTTGCCTTGGAACTTTCTCTTAAGAGGAGGCGTTCAGTATGCGATAAAAACTCAGAATCCTACAAATTAAAAATAATCACTAATATTGACAATTATATTATTTCCCTCAATAATTATTAAGTTAATTGAACGCAATAAGCAATACTCGTAGTATACCATTATGATATTGCAGGAGTTATCTCGACTGCAACCTTATGTACAAAAATCCCCTAATAAAAATTTCTTCTCATTTTGCAGTCTTCCGTTACCTAATCAACTATTTATAAGCGGGAGATGATAAAACAGAGGAAAATCCCAGGCATTACTCCACTTAACATCTAAAATATATGCTAGGAATATTTATATACTTATGTAGATTTCTAACTACTTCTAAACACCGGCCCATTTACACATTCCTTGTATTCAAATGAGATATAACTAGATGGTAAGGAAACTGCACGGAAGCTGCAAAACATTAAGAAGGCGTATATTACTGTATTGCTTATTATGTTCACCCCTTATGTTAACTTAACTATATTTACAAACTAAACTTGATATTGCTTTATTGAGAGTACCACGTATCACCATTGTAAAAACCAAATATATATAATATAAAACTGAAAAAAACATCAAATAACTTATATAACACCGCGTTATACATGCCCTGTTACTAAATTTCGAAGAGGATTGGACTCGTTTTCCGTAATTACTTAGATGATGAAAGCTTTTTTTCATGTGCGCCAGTCTACGCATTGAGCGTCTTCTGGGATAAAATATGGAATTGAGTTCACCTGTGTTTCAGCACCCTCGGAGTCAAACTACTAAATCAGGTATTTGCAAGGAAATAAAAACACTTTACTATTGTTCCGTTTATCCTAAGCGTGTATGAAGAAAGAGACTTGAAGCACCCCGTTATGAATATTTGTATCGCTTGTACATTCTAATGCTTTATAGATGGTGAAGATTTTTTGTTCAGAAAATTTATTAACCCGCATGTTTACAGATTTAACAAGCTTAGCAAAAGAGCAATAGGCTGTGTTCAGCCAACGGAATTGGGGTGTAGAATTTTGAAATCTTAAATCTATTTTAACATCGATTATAGTGTAATATTAAATGTATCCCTACATACTAATAATCAAAGGGAATCAGTTCAGAGTTTAGATTTACATAAGTAATTCGGTACTTTTTTAATTCTTAGTTGTCGGGTCACACGACTGTAAGTATCGTACACTAAACTGCGTCTGACACAGGAATGGGCCCCAAACCGCGACCGACTGTCGGTCGTTATCACATTATTAAAATATCTCTCTGATAAAAATCACAGTGCACGCCAATATCAACTTTCGTGTGACCCGCAATCTTCGAAAGGCCTGATCGAAGAAAACAAGAAGCACAGTGGGCAAGGTACGCCCTGGAGGCAGTAACACCACTTATAGTATAGAACCCTAAGATTTAAAATAGTTTAAAAAAATAGGAGTTAGATTTGGGATATACATTTGACCGTGAGATGTTAGCACACTGGGTTTGCATTATGATGGCTTATAAATAATGTAATATCCGAAGGCATGAGACAAGGCCAGTCGACTCGAACAAATCAGTGTGACAACGTTTCATGATCCGAAAGGGCACTACTTAAACGAGAGAAACGCCTGTCGTGATAGCTGTTATTGTTTTACTACCGTGTTAAATAATTGGTTTGTTGGATGGTTAAGCTTTTATCATCCGTTGAAATAGCGCCTTTACTTGATGGATCGCCTTAGGGCGGTGCTAGAAGAAGATCGTGGTAAGCACTGAGCGAGATACGCTGGGGATAGGCGTGAAAAGTTACGATCCCATGTTTCTATCAATATATTATTACCTGTATATTGGAGAATATTAATAGTAACACGGACATTAGAACACAGGAAGTCCTCTGAACAGCGATCACGATTAAATTTCAGATTTCCTTAGATTGCAAATATTAGACGCGGATGCTAGACTATCTATTTCTAAGCTGTTCAGATTGGCCTCCCGCGTTCTTTAATAACTGCCGTTCGATTTTAATTGGCAACATCAATATAGATATGGATACATATGCGTAGTCCTGTATACTTGTTAAAGTTTAACATGTTTACCACTAATACAATAGCTTTAACAAGTAAACAGAGTTTAAAGGAGCTTATACATAAATTACTTATAATATTAATACTGGTAATATAATAGCGACCTTTTTATACCAAGAGTAGGCCCAAACTCGTTTAAGACTAACATTTAATAAATGAAGAATAGAAGCTCACGACGTGTTCGTCGGTTTATTTTCCAGAACCAGTCAGGAGACCAATGTTCGTACTATGTCGTCTTAAGTCCGTGATACATTTCGTAAATCTGTGTTAAGTAAGTTAAGTAGAAGTCCGTGGTATACATATATCCGCAGTTCGTGAGAGAGTTGTCAAATCCATGTTAAAGAAGTAAGCGATGCGAATCAACATTGAAGAGAATCATCAATCATATGTGAATGTTGAGCTTAAATACGGGCTAGATATGAAGCCGTATTCCCTAAAGGTGGTTCCATCGCACGCCTACTGCTTCGCGTTCGAAGGCTTAGCGCGTGGATGGTGGCTTGTAGCCGTGCGTCATGCGCTCCAGGAAGCGGTGCAGGTCGTAGAAGCGCGGGCGCTGCTCGGGCTCGCGTCGCCAGCACTCGTGCATCAGGTCGTAGAGTTCGCGACGGCAGCGGGGTAAGGGGGCGGCGGGCACACGCGCGCCACGGCCGCCACGACGCCACTCGCTGGCGTTGGCCACCACCTGATTGATTAACGGCGCGTGTCAAACACTCCAAGGGCTATTGAGGTGGCGACGCCGCGATTTATGCAACATGTGAGCTCTGAAGCTGATATTTCAATTGGCAAAAGGCGTTCTCAATGATGACGGGCGCACGGGAACTTAAGTTTAAGTCACGGTATCTCGGCCAAACCCGAAAGATCGTGTGGAACAAATTGTGTTCACTATATTATGTAACGATAACGTGATAAAACTTTTCCATCATCATCATCATTACACATCAAGTTCAACATAGAAAATTACTTGTGAGGCTTTTTGGCATCATTTAAGATAATTAGATAAAGATAAAGATCACTTTGTTTGTTTTTGCGAATGTGTTTAGATACCATTTTATTGTTTTAAAACAAAATTATGGGATACGGTTAAATGAAAATAGCTTCTCAATGTTCTAGAATGGGGAACCAATTTTATATTGGGCATTCAAATGAGTTCCTCTCAATTTTTAGGTGGAAAAATACCTGTTCGTCACTCATTTCTTCAAAAGGTTTAACGAGGCAGAATGTTAGTACTTCCCAAACGGTTACACCAAACGACCAGACGTCACTTGCTGGGGAATATATACCCTGTAACAATATAAATGATGACATTTTAAAATATTTGTTTTGCGCACTTGAAACACCCCGATTTATAAATTTTAGCAACACAGTAAATGAATGTTCCATCATTGGAAACAAACGTTTTATGAAATCAAATTCTATGTAAACTTTAAAAAAATATCAATTCGAGGGCGCATTAAAGTCGAATTTCCTGTACAACGTCGATATTGTATCCCAAGTAAGATTCAAAGGATCTCGTAAAATGAGATCTCACAGTAGTATAAAAGTAAGATATTTCAATATAGCTTGCATTTGCATTTATAAGGTATCGTAATAAATACTTTGTTTTCGGTAGTTTTGTTACCAATTTCTTATGCTTATTTTGTATTGTAAATTTATATTAATACGAGAATTATATTAAAAAAATAATTTTAAGACTTCTTTAAATAAAAATGTCTGTTTTAAAGTCGTTTGAGGATCATTTGTATAGCTGATTTTTTGAAATACAAATATGTTTTAAATGTCTGACACTTACCATCAGCAAACTTTCCCACGCCATCCAGCGAAGTGGGAATCGGCAGCCGTCGGCCATGAAGTAGTAATCGTCAACGAATTCCTCGCAAAACATCGCGTAGTCTGAGACTTTAATGTTTAGATCTTCAGTCACTGTTACATTGCTGTAAAGATACGTTTCGTTGCTTATTTGCCAAAGGATTATTAAGAAAAAATAAAATGTGAACTTGAAGCGAACTCAGCGTTATATTAAGTACCGAGTATGAATTATAATTCACGTATTCACCAAAAAGCTACGATCTATTTATATACTCACCGCGCTGCAAGATCCCGGTGTATTAACTCGAATGATTCCAGATACTTCATGCCGGCTGCTATCTGACAGCATATGTGAATCAAACTCGAATAACTAAAAGGAGAATAATTTGATAATTTTACATTCAAAACAAACAATAGATTCAATAACGAAAGTGATTGTGCTCGGGAGACTTTTCGATACGTACTTCAATTTCCGGTTCATTCTTAAAATGGTCGGGAGAGGAGCAGCATCGCCTCGATCGAGAGCTGCGCATGGGGGCTCTAGCAGACTCAAACCAAGGACCCTTGCAAGTTGCGGGTGCTTGAGGCCTGCGCCCCATGTTGCTTCGCGGGCGAACGCCGCTCTGAGGAACCGGTGCAGTGTTTACGTAAGTCACAGAATCTTTAGAAATCGTCAGCTGCGCTGTACATTTGCAATAAAGTAAAAGTGTATCTTACACTGTAACTTAGTTTTATGTTTGTAGGGACACGCGTTTCATGCTTTCTAGAATGCGTCCTTACGTAGACGGATTTCTGTGTCTTTAGTGGCAAGGTAGAATTCTTCTACGTTATTAGCTGTAATAATTATAAGGTGAAGCACACACATTTTGCATTGCAAGCTGTTTCGTTTTTTACGTTTGTGTGCGATAGATTGAGTAAAACAGCAATTAACTTTATATCTGACAAATTGAAAAAATGACGCTTTGATAAATGCACTAAAAACATTTGTTGTAATTAAGTGTGCATTAGAAATTGCTGTAGTACGATATCGTGGTTCCATACTAGGTAAAAATTATGCTCACTTGATATCGTTATGGCAACCGCGCCAAAGTGTCTTGACAACCACAAGGCGGCGGCGGCCAGTAGTGGAGGCCTCTTCGTCGCTCAGCTCTTCGATACCGTCTGTCTCGCATATCTGCAGCTGTGGACAAACAGCAAATTTAAAGAATTTAAACCACAAGAAGACGGACATTGCGAAGAACTCAAGAAGCTGAATAATCAGCGGTCGCTCTACGTAGTTGCCTGTTTAATAAACCAGTAACTGGAGGATCTTTTTTGGTAAATCATGTATTTTGGAAATAAAAAAAAAAAATAAAGAAAATGATCTGGTATAGAAAAAAAGTAAAAAAATAAGTGTGTAAATGATCGTGAAACGAACCGCGGCCGTCTGTTTTGTTTTGCGGCGAAATTTACTGTCATATTCGAATGATATTTTCTAAAAATGAAACCTAGCTAGATTGACTTTTCGCCCTCGAATCTACGCACATACTAAATTTCATAAAAATCGCTGGAGCAGTTTCCGAGATAATACTAAACGCGACTGGATATAAGGACGCAATGTACGAAACGTATTATTAAAAGACATGGTATTAATAATACGTTACATGTAAAGTGTACATAAAAAAGCGGATATAAAAGTTTTTAGAAGCATTTAATTAGATTATAAACTTTTTTAGTCACAAAAATTCTCAATATTTGATGCAAATCAAAAGTTATCCTTTCTGCCTGTTTCACAACACGTAATTTAAAACGAAAATAACGGTTTGACCACATTAAAATTTTATTCCATGGAACATTGGGAACTTTATGGGGGAGTAGTTGTTAAGCACGCAAATAGTAGAGGAGCATGGAAAAATTCTTGAATATTTCGCGAAAGCCTACTTTGGCCCAGTTACTGAGTTTACCGAGCGTGCAAAATGGCTTTGCGCCTTACGGATTTACGGACACGAGAATAAGCCCACTTTACAGTGAAGGTGGGTTGGTTTGCGAAAGCTTGTGTTGTGGGTAGGTTCGTTACTTTAAAAGGAAATGTACCTACGACGCTGATAATAACAGTCACCTTGGCTTTCTATTAATAAATATTTGTTTCTTATGGTGTGTTTTATATTTAGTTCTTGCTTACAAATGACACCATCATATAATTTTAATTGTCTTGCCACTTGCCTTTAATGCTGTGGGTAATGTTATTGTTAAAAAATACTTTTTTTTTGTTTTGTAAGTGTAAAATTAGTTCTTTATGATTAAAAAAATCTGTTTTTCTCTATGACATATTTAACCTTACGTTATTTAAGTTTACTAAAATTGGCAGACTCTCTTCTCACCTATGTCAGAGACAAAACACAATTTTTTTAAACGAACTGGTAGTAATATTTTGACCATCATTAAGTAGGTGTGATGCTTTTATACTGAATAAAGAAAGAATTTGAATTTGAACTTCAGCCAACAAATATAGATGTTTCTCTATGAACCCTTGAGTTTAATTGATAAGTTTTAATTTTGTCAAATAAAACAGGCACTTCAATTTTATTTAATTTATTAATACCAAAAAATTGTGCAATTTGATAAATAGGTATGTACATATTGTATACCTTGATAATAATAAAATAATAATATATCATTACTTCCAGATTAAAAACAAGGTCCCGAAATTAAAAACAGGCTCTTATTAAATTGAATTTATTCATTTAAGGTATGAACCTCAAATCTCGTGAATTTAATTTAAAGATTCCCTCCTCCCTCAAATTAATTTGCGAGGCATTCAGTAAAAACGGAGTAATAAAAATATGTTATATTGTATTTTTTATTGAGTTTATTAAATTTTTTTTGTGAAATCGTTTTTATTTCAAAACGAAAGCTTGTAATGCATACATATATATTTTTTGGCTGCGTAAATTGTTAGACGACTAGTAGAATATTTTATAAAGCAAATAGGAAACATGTAAGCAGGAAATCTCTTTAAATCGGCTCACTAATGGAATTAAAGTATTGTTTGTTCAGTAGTACTTGTGAACAAATACTGTGTGGCAAACATTAAAAAGTTCAGTGTACAATATACAGTATTATAGAGATGGTTACGTAGGTATTTCCTATCGATATAATCTTCTTTTCTAAATATTATTATCATAATACTGAATAAAAATAAGGTACAACGTTTTTATGATATTGCAATCAAAAGAGAATACGAAAATTACGATAATTGTAAGATAACAATTAATTTTTAGTATATAATTATAAAAGAAACTGCTTAGCCTAAGCGATACATATTTGTAATTTTATTTTTGGTTTATTTAAAAAAATAGCAGATATGTAAGCCGTGAGCACTAAAGCTGTGTCTTTATTTCAACACTTGCAGTGTTAATAACATTTGGCACTATAGCGCCAATATAATAAGCTATAGATTATAATATTTGAAACTATAGCGGATACGCTTTATTCAAATGCTCAGCATAAATAATTCAGCTCCTTCACAGTTACATTTTTCAGTTATAAAGCACTCACACCATTTTGTGTCTCTTTCCATACGTTTAAATCACTTAGTAATGTTCTTAAAACTTCTAATAATAAGAGTGCTTAAATAAAATGGCTTTTAGCATTATCTTTCGTAATATTAACCAGGCGGACTTAATGTCTCCATAGAGACTTTCGCCCCGGGGTATATCCACGTGAAAATTTTCGAGTTAATTAAGACAAATTGCATAGATCTTTCAGACTTTTAATAAATGGATCTTTTAATTTTAACCCCAATAATAATCTACAGCGGATATTTGGTCATGGAACTGCAACTGTAGTGTGTGCAGGTGCGTTGCTTGCAACCATTGGAACATAAGTAAAGTGGCAGTCAGTCACTTTCACTTCCCGACATCACATTAATATTTTTCAGTGTCATTAATTTCCAGTGACAAACATTGTGCTCGAGAACTTCGTCAAAATAATTAATAAAGACTCCATGCCCAATAAATTCGCATTTACTCGTTCATTCTCTCAATGACAATATTCGCCGTGTTATTGTTATAAAATATGCAAACGTCAAACTTTTCACGTAAATAATTTTAGTAAATTGTTTTGAAATTTGATTTTAAATTTGAAGGTTTTGTAACGTTATGTATTTTATAGGCGTATTTAAGTTATATTAATATTGTAGCTGTATGTGTGTATTGGTAATGAAAGACTTTAGTACAATTACTTTATAGCCGTTAATTTATGTTATATTGAGTAACGTACAAAGTTCTATTTATTTATATATACTAATATTATATTATTCTGTGTATAAATTCCATATGCGAAAAATAAATGGAAAAAACGGTAAAAGATAATTTGTTAGTTTTGTATTTCTACAGGAAAGGAATTTAGTAGGTATAAAGGTAAAACAGTTATTTGATATGTTAAATAACTATTAAAATAATAAATAACTATTAAACAAAACAAAAAACACTTTCTTTCGTTAGATATTCAGTAAGGAAATTTCAATTCGAATTAGAACTAAACTATTTCCCGTAGTCGACTATCGCCGTGAGGTGTTTGGGGTAGCAAGAGGGTTGTCAGCAGATTGCATTTTCTTGCTACGGCCCGTAATCGATTTTTATGATTATTTTTGCAGGCCAGCGTTCCTTCCCTAACAGGGAGCAAACTTACCAATAGCAGCAACGCTAAGGCACTAAAATAATCTACTCCTACGTGTATTTAATTTTTTTGTTCACTTTCATCTAATTACTACTCGTAGGTTCAATGAAAATCGTTAGTATTTACTCTAAAGTAAATAAATTGACTTTTTGTAACATATTTTACTTGCAAGAAATAAAATTATTAAATTAATAAAAAAAATATTTAAATTTTAGTGTTTTATCTTAACTCTCATACAAAAGGTTACCTGTTTGTGTAACGAATGCGTTGTTTATCCTCTGGAGGGTTGGAATTAGATTGTTAGGGTAGAGAGATCGATGCTTATTCAATTATGATCACATTTGTTGACCAATACACGGATCATGTGTTGTGCAAAAGCCAACCATTCTAACGCACTAGTTTCATGCTCAGTTAGCTGAGCGGAAATTTGAGTCGAAATTCCTTTCGGAAATAGGGGCTAGCATGAACGTAATAATTGCGTTAAACATTATCATATATGATTTGTTAGTAAAATAATTAATATGACAATTTAAATGAGTTTGAACATAACAGGACACAAAAGGTTTAATAAAGAAAATTCAAATATTAAGTGTAAAATTAAAGTTAGTTATAAGACGAAGGTTATCATCATCATCATCATCATTGCAGCCTGTTTGAGTTCACTGAACATAGGCTTCCCCCATAGACTACCATGAAGTACGATCCAGCATCCATCGACTTCTTGTATCTTGTATCTTGTATTAACTGATGTTTTTGCTTTCAGTCCTGAGACTATTAAAGCTTCATCGGACGCAGAAGCGGTGGGCTAGCCAGAACCCACGGGTTTGGACCCTCCGCTATGGGTACGGCCGCGCATGTGCTCATGCGTGCGCTTAACTATGGTGTGTCATCTAAGGGCCGTCGAGGTCGCGGTTCGGACCGAAACCCCGATGGCCGTCGACTGTGCAATTGGCTAATCGGTGGCTGGGAGTGGTGAGAACCGCCCTTGAACGCGGGGGTATCTTGTATACGCGTTGTATTGGTCTCGCCGTGCTCGGAGGCGAGGGCGAACTGGTGTGATTGTTGTTATACTTGCTGTGGGTGTAGTGTTATCCGGCGGGACCCCCCGCGGTGGGTCAAAGGTATCTAAGTCCCCTTCCTCGACCGGGTCGATGAGGACGTTTCGCAGGCGACGCTTGTTGACGTTCGCGTTAGTGTCGGGTTGGTAATTTGCTGCGCGTACCACCAGAGGGTTGGGATGATGTTGGGCTCTGTCGTAGAACCGTTTGGTTAAATCTTTAAAATGTGCGCGAATCGTCAGGAGTCTGCAATCGCTGTGCAGGTCGACGTTGCGCTGATACCATTGCGCACCGGTTGATAACAGTGGATTTTTTCAAGTCGTCACTGAACTCAAAGGATCACCTTCCGGTGGAAGCGAAGCCCTAATCTCGATTATGCGGTCCACCTCTGTTAGGTGGGCTGTATCTCGCTCGTATCGTATATTGCTGCTCTAAGTTGTCCGCAAGGCATTCGTCTTTTTCGGAGGCACTAGGGCTATTGAAGTGCTGTTAGGTCTAAGTAACGACGGTAGAG